TGCTGTTACCTAAAGTGACCTGTATGTCCAGGTCACACCTTAAGTATGGTCTTGGTACTGTACAGTCCTTGTACCTGCTCAACATAAAGAAGCACTGAGTTCTAAAGTGTTTCATGTAAGTGCTGAAATATTGTTTTCTTGCTTAACATGAACTGGAAAGACATATTCTGTTTTTTTTCTCTATGTGAAATTTTAAATTAAATATAGCTTCAATTAAGAAAGCTAAAATGTTAGTAATTTGCATTTTGTATTAGTTTTTAAAATGTCTATTTCCCCTGTAAAAATGTGTCAATTTAAAAGATAAAATTTTAGCTTCTCATTTAGTTCTCACAAGAATTATGTTTTTTTAAAGAATTTCATCCAATATCACAAATTTAGTATTAAGATAAAATTATCTGCATTTCAAATTATGGAATAATTTCTTGAGGAAAGGATCATGGGGGGGAAAATGAAGCCACACATTTAGATTCATAAACTTTAAGACAGAAATGCTTATCTACAGTTAAACTTATGGAAAATTTATTCATCCATTCATTTGGCTCTGAATGATGATGATTTACAAATTTTAAAAGTCTTATTTTATGGAAGTCTCAGCTATGGTACTATCTTCTCTTTTTAAAATCAGGATACTTGGGGGTGGAGACATGGTCAGTCATTTAGAGCATAGGCTGCTCTTCCAGAGGAACACAGTTTCATTTCCAGTAACAACATGGAAGCCCCAAACTGTTTGTAGCTCCAGTTCCAGAGAATCTGATACTCTATTTTAGGTTCTACCAGCACCAACCATGTAAGTAGTACAGAGAAATATATGCAGGCAAAACTCCATATATACACAAACTAAAATAAATATTAAACATAATAATAAATAATAAAATATAAAATAAAAATAATAAAATAAAATTAGGACCCCTTTAATCAACTGGGTCTTTTTTGATATTGATTTCTAGTGCATACTTGGTATATATTAAGTTTTTTGGTATATTTCCTATTTATAACTAATAACTATAAAGGTCATCCACTCTTACTTTATGAAGATTACTGCAAGTTAACACTATTTTCATAATGGCTCTTCCTAATAATTTTCTCCAATGCTTTGCTTGCTTTCATAGTTATTAAATTCTATAAAAACAAAACAAAAAAACTGCCCATATACCCACAAGGCTTGAGTTACTTAGAGTTGTTCTCAGAACAGAATCACACAGGACTCAGTGACAGTATGATCCACATAGTGCCACACAATGAAGTTCTGATATGTGATTTTACTAAGGAAAGAGGTATGTGGAAAGCTAGGTGTAAAGGAGACAATCAATTCAGTGTGGTTCCAGCTCATTGACAGGTAGGAAAGACAGACAAATTTTGGGTTCTTTTCTTTGTTCTTGTCTTTGTTTTTGTTTTTGGTTTTTGTTTGTTTTCCCTTTTTCTTTATGTTGCTGTTTGAGACAATTACAATTTCAATTCTAAGCTGACCTGAAAATTTCTACATAGAGCTACACTGGCCTTGAACTCAAAGAGATCCACGTGCCTCTTCTTCCCAAGTACTTAGAATAAATATGTGCACCACAATTTCTGACCCAGCAGCATAAATTTTAACATTGCAAAGACAATAGATGCAGTTCTTTTTTAAGAAAAACCCTGCATCATTAGAGACTTTTGATATTATGAGGTAAATCTTAAAGGTGGTAAATCATCTTTACACAAGTAAATAGAGCAAGTGAAGTCATGAGGTAAAATGTGCTGTTGAAATGGTCACAAACATGTCAAGAACCTCAATTCCTCAGCCTCATGAGAGTGCCAAGGTCTCCCTAGATTTGGCTCAAATGACCAGAAAAGGCTTTCTCAGCTTTGAATGTGAATCTTGGCTGTGAGTGCTGAAAATGTCTACCATAGCTTTCTCTCCCCAGATGTTTATTGTCTGAAGTCTGCTCCCCCACAGAGACTGCTTCTAGGGATATTAACTAAATCTGCCTCCTTGCTTAGCTGTATAATAGTAAACACCACTTCTTTGTTCAGATGTGTGTACCATATTCCCACTCTTCCTTTTCAACTGTAGACAATAAATACACTGAGCTTCCAGGGTGCTGCAGCTTCTCTGCCAGAGAGCCCAGTCCACCCAATCCCAGTTTCTCTAGCTCTATCTGTGTTTGCCTTTTCTTCATTCCCTTGCTAGTCCAGTTAGGTGAATCCCTGGAGACATGAAGGAAGTGGAATATCAAACATAAAAGAAAACCTAGGAAGATGAAAAGGGCATTCTTATTCCTCAAAAGGCCATGTTATTCTTCTCATGAATGTTCATACTGATTCCTGAGTATAATCACTTGAAACAGTATACACATACTTACATGCACATGCATGTGTGTGTGTGTGTGTGTGTGTGTGTGTGTGTGTGTGTGTGTGTGTTTGTGTGTGTGTGTGTACATGTGTGGAGAGAGAGAGAGAGAGAGAGAGAGAGAGAGAGAGAGAGAGAGAGAGAGAACGTGTATGTGTGTAGAACCAGAATGTGGAAAACTTTGTTTTCTTTGTGTTAATATGGGCTAGGAGAATCATGTGTTATATCATTTGGGTCTCATGGCAATAATCATCAGCTCCTTGTTGCTGATGAATGACAGAGGCACAGATATGGTTAATTCATTAAATTGAATCTACATCATAAGAAAGTAGTCTAGACAAGATTTGTACACAGCTGCTACTAGGAGTTAGGGCCCAGTGTCCACACCATCTCACATTGCTCAAGGTGGCACTACACACTGGCTCTAAGTTTTTAGTGAAGAACCTGTAATTCTTCATCAATCTTATTCAAAGGCTTCAAGTACAGAACAGGTCCTGGGAATGTGTGAAGTTCAGATTTGATTTATGTAAGTCTAAACTGGTAGCATGAAAAACATAGATGCAGGTGATTTATTGAGATCATTTATTGTATTCAGCTAAGGAATTCCTAGTGAATGATCCCAGTGGACAGCATGGGATCCATTTACACAGAAGGACCTTAACCTGCAATTCAAACACAGAAGCAGCTCTGCCACAGAAACTTCCACAAAATAAAACTGATCCTCAAAAGAGCCTGAATCAATCATTTCTAATGGTGCCAGGGACTAACTAAAGAAAGGCTCTCTCAAACCATCATGTTGTTATGTCCGTTCAATTTATTTTAAAACCTTGAACTCCATAAGGACTGTTCATATGAACATGCTACTTCATAATTACTTATATTCTTTGAGCTTTTGTCAATTTCAGGCCATATATATTTGTTCTTCAGTATGTAATTAACATGTCAGTTCCTCTGAAGTAGAAATTCTTTCACATATGAAATAAAACAGTGAGGGGAAAATATCTAATTGCTTTTGAAAAGTCAAAGATTAGAGTTAAATAAAAACATCAGTGCAGCTGGATGTTGTGGCTTATGCAATTGATCCCAGCACACAGCAGTCAGAGGAGGGCAGATTTCTGTGAGTCAAGGCCATCAGTCTACATGATGAGTTTCAGGACAGCCAGGTTTATATAGAGACACCCTGTTCAAAAAAACAAACACATACTACTACTACTACTACTACTACTACTACTACTACTACTACTAATAATAATAATAATAATAATAATAATATAACAAAAAATTGGTAACTATGTTTTAAGGCCAATAGGATTAAGCTTCTTCAAAAATGTGTTTAGTATGAGTAACTATATATAATTAACAATACAATGTTTAATAACTTTATTAAACTAAGAATACACACCATCCTAAGTCAGGCTATTAGCATTAATCTTCCATGCTGTGATTATCTGTTTAGTGAAAGCTCTAGTACAGTCGATCTGAACAAGCTGCCTGCCTCTGAATAACAAATTGAAAGTATAACTCCAAGTAACAGCATGTGTTTTGAAAAGAGAACACACTTTGCTTTTTTCTTTCTGAATAATGAGCTCTAAGACTGAAGATAAGGCTCCTTTGTTTCTGTGCCTGTACTTAAAGGTAACTTGGGAATTGCAGAACAGGCACTGTGCTAATCTTTCATCTGCTGCAAATTGTCCTCTAAAATATCATCAAATCAGAGAGTTGTATGGGATTTTCAACACAGAGTGGCAAAAGCATGACCTGAATATGCTTTTGTGACTACAAAGTCATCAGTAACCACCAGCAGACCATGTTGCCCAGCTTTCTGCAAAAGTACTATTTGGGAAATGGAAGTTTAACACAGATATTTGCAGCTCCCCTGCTAATATTTTAAATGTATAAATGCATCAAAATAACTTCTTTTTATCCTTAATCACATGTTAAATGTAGTTTCTCTTTAGCTCTTCCAGTAGGAACTAGTACAAAATTCAGTGAGCTCTCCATGGTATTTATTCAATTGTGACCAATATTTCCCCAAATGTCTAACACTTTCATTCAGTTTTACAGTGCCATTTCATTATCTGTAATAGAGATTCTTTAACCTTTGTATTAAAGTGTGGATTAGAAAACATCTGTTGTTTAACTATTTATAATGGTTCGTGAAGCTCAGCTTCTATGTCCCAGCTTTATTAACTTAAAATATTTGTATCTGCTCCTCCACATGTGTAAAAACATTCAAGAAAATGGCACAATGAAATTTTTGGCAAATTCTCTCCTCTATTCATTGCTCCCTTCTCCTTTTTTACACTATCCTGCACATGCACACACACACACACACACACACACACACACACACACACACACACACACACTCACACACACTCACTCACTCACTCACACTCATACACACTTATTGTGCATTTCCTTTTGTCCCTAGTGTTATTTAAAAAATTACAGAAATCAATTCTTTTGTCATAAACTCTCAAGCATTTGAAAATTTTAGATATATATATTTCACTTTTAGATACATTTTGTCATGACAGTACTTTTAACTGTATTTCTAAGGATCAAAATTGATTGGAAGGCCTTAACAGTACAGTAGCATGCTGCGTAATTTTGTACCTTCATAATTAACTTGAATCTGAGAAATGGTAGCATCAGAAAAAAGTCAACTCACCACTTCTTCATGTCTGCATTTCCTCACATTAATTCCATTTATCTGCAATGAAAGGAAATCCTCAGTTTCACATAGTGTATTGTAAATTGGCCTTGGTTTGCATCCACAAAAACAATAATTAGATGTATACCTGTAGAATTGCATCTCCGATGAAAAGCAGTCCTGACAGCTCCGCTGTGAATAAGAAGAATTGAATATACCTTGACATTTGTCAAGTAAGTAAAGCTTTTTATTTTAACTACGGATAAAACTCTAAACACATTATAAGTGTTTTATATGGCTAGCATTTATAAAACCCACAAAGCATGTAAACTCAATAATATGTTTTAGCTATTTCCAATTGCTGAAATAGGCAGACATTTCTTCTTGGTTTCTAGCACCTTATGTCTTTATAGCCCTTAAAATATGATCAGTCCCCTCCCACCATTTAGCTTTTCTCTTTTTCAATAAGCCAATTTGTGCTGCCCAAATATTCTTGGATGTGTGGTTTTCCACTCTAGCATGGTTGACTTTTCAGGTGATACACTCTGGGGATGAATATTTGGATCTGGGAAAAGTTGGAAAAATGAATATAAATGTGATCAAAGCAAAGCATGTTATTAACAGTTCTCAAAGACATATATGTGTGTGTGTGTGTGTGTGTGTGTGTGTGTGTGTGATGTTTACATGTTGCTTATGTATATATGCACATTCATTAAAAATTGATCACACTTCTTAATGGGTGAGCAGTTTTCTTTATGCATTTATGATACCTCTATGCAAATATCTGAGAATTAAGCTTTCAGTCTTTCAGTTCCATGCTTTATGGGAAATACTACCTTGTTTTCCAGATAATATTCAATAAACACTTGTTTTGTATATTCCTGATAGTTTTTGGATAAAGTCTCACAGGAAGTGAGTAAAATTGAGAAAAGTGATTGCATCTGGATTTGTCCATAAAATGTGACTTGATTTTTGTGTCTTTAACCAATGGTTCAGAAGCTGTTCATATATGATCATTTGAACTATTTTCATCAATCACTTTTCCATTTTTGTCCTGTAGGAGAAGAAAGAGGAAGTGAAGAATCAGATTTAATCTCTCTCTGTGTGAGACTGGGGATCCAGGGGAGCCATTCACATAGCAATCAATGAGCATGGGATTACAGAGTACTGGCCAATAAAGAGTTAGCTAAGCATATTACCTCTTTGTTCCTTGGAGATTTTGGAAATAACAACTGGAATGCTATGTTCTGCACCTCCCTAGAAAGAGACAGTCATATATCATATTTTTAAGTCAGACATTAGCCAAAATATTAAAAATAAATAAATAAATAAATTGCAAGGTATAAATAGTACATTTCATGAATACAAGGCAGAATTAAAATAAATTTGTAGAATTTCTTTTAAGTAAGTATCATTTCCATGAAGCTTGGCTAAGTATTTGTAAGACTTGTAAGGATGATCAATAATTAGTAAAAATTGACTATAAAATTTTTATTTCTCAAATAAAATAAGTAACATCAGTAGTGGCATTATCTTCAAAATCCATTATAGGAAAGCAAGGCATCTTGACATTTGTTGCTTAGGATTACGTGCATTAGATATTTATACATTTCAATTCTCTCATTAATTTATTTTATTCTGCCAAACAGGCACTCTTTCAATTCATTCTGAATGCTAAATAACCAGACAGGCCCTTTACCTGAATAAATGGATAAATAAAAGGGGTCTAAACATGATGGGAACAGAACCATCTTTATTTCCAAATTAGTATCAGACTCCCATGTGAAAGCATAGGCAGGTCAATTGTCAGCCAAGAATCCAACAGCAGTCCTTGGTTACTGACTCAAATATGAAAGGAGGAAAGTACAACAAGGAATCAAAATTTTGATAAAAGAAAATAAAATAAATTCTTAGAATAACTGCCAGAAAAATACTGTTTCATCACAACAGTGTAAGGAGTTTGGACCTGGTAGTTGAAAAACCAAGTACATATCTAAACAAGTGAAGTGCTGTGTAGAGAAGGAATTGAAGGGGGCATTTAAAGCCTCTGGTGCTGCTTTGGGTTTAGAATAAATAACTCCCTAAGGTATCCATCAGCATAAATACAGCATTTCAGAACATGTTTACTGATGAACATTCATTTCCAACACTGAGTAGAATTAGATATGAGATAGAAAATCACTTAATAAATTAGTATTCAACTTTATTTTTTAAATTTTTATTTTTTTTTACTGCCAAGAAGGGGAAAAATAAGAAAGAAAAAGTATAATCTTGCTTGCCACTAATCAACTTATTTCATAATATTTCTCTATGTACCTAACCTCCACCAAATGAAAAGAGAGGAAGTATCATAGACTGTTATGGTCATAACTCAAGACTCACTACTTAACCTGTATGTCTAAAGTGTCAGTCCTGTCTAAGGTGTATTGATAAAGTATTGGAAAAAAACTGACAAAAGAGTATTGTTGGCATTGTTGGCTATTGAATTTTGGACATGGACTGCAAAATGGTGAGTTGAATGGATACTTGAATATTCAGTGCACAATGGAGACCACACACTGCGTAGTGGAGACTATAGCAGGTATACCTGAAAGGTCATCTGCAAGCAGCATGATCTGGAGACTATGGAAGGGAGGCCTTATGGATAATTTGAATAGAGTGCACAGTAGAGACCACAACAATGAGGTTGGGGGTCATCTGTATACTACATGTCAGAACACCACAGTAGACACTGTAGTGAGACACTTCTTTCATCAGCTGCTAGGGTAGGGAGAGCTGTATTTCATTTTGAATAATGCATATTTGGTAGTTTGAGATAGTGACCCAAATAGACATGCTGGTATACTTCCACTAATGTATTTAAAAGAAGTTTTTTTGCAGCTAAAACTCAGGATCCATGTGTTGAATCAAAAAAACTTGCTGTGAGATAATGCTCTTGCACACTGGTTTAATAAAATGCTGATTGGCCCGTAGCCAGGCAGGAAGTATAGGTGGGGCAAGCAGACTAGGAGAATTCTGGGAAGAGGAAGGGCAGAATCAGGAGTTGCCAGCCAGACACAGAGGAAGCAAGATGACAAGGAAGAACTGAGGAAAGGTACCAAGCCATCTGGCTAAACATATATAAGAATTATGAGTCAATTTAAGTGTAAGAGCTAGTCAGTGATAAGCCTGAGTCAATGACTGAGCAATTTTAATTAATATTAAGCCTCTTGTTGATTATTTTATAAGCAGCTGTGGGACTGTAGATGTGAGAGATTTGTCTGGACCACACTGGGCCAGGTGGAACCAGAGAAACCTTCTGACTACACTTTTGAATGCTGAAGATACTTTGGATGCTTTAAGGAGACAGAAATTTTTGTTGTTGTTGTTGTTTTTCAAGACAGGGTCTCTCAGTGTAGTTTTGGTACCTGTCCTGGATCTTGCTCTGTAGATCATGCTGGCCTTGAACTCACAGAGATCCATCTGGCTCTGCTTCCCAAGTGCTGAGATTAAAGGCATATGCCACCACCACCTGGTAAGACTGAACTTTTAAAGATTTTTAAGGATGGTGGTACTTTAAGATTATTTATACTACATAAATGTCTTTTTGAGATGTCTTTCTATATGCTGTGAATATGTGTTGCTCTGATTGGTTGATAAATAAAGCTGTATTCACCTATGGCAAGGCAGCTTAGAGGCAGGCAGGAAATCTAAGGAGAGAGACATGAAGAAGAAAGGCAGAGGCATGATAGATGCCAGCCACCACCAAAGGAGAAGAAAGATGCCAGCAGACTGGTAATGCCATGGAATATGTTACAAAACATGTATTAATGGAAATGAGTTAATTTAAGATACAAGAGCTAGCTAGCAAGAAGCCTGACCCATAGGCCATACAATCTGTACATAATATAATCCTCTACGTGTTTGCTTGGGATCAAGCGACTGCAAAATGCAGGAGGGAGAGATTTGTCCTGACCTCAGGGCTAGGCAGGACCTGAGAAAACTTATGACTACAAAAGCTACATGCTAAAACCTGCCTAATATTGACTCTACTGGCAATGTCTTCACAATTGTCTAACACAGAATTTTCTGTCTGCTATTCTTTGTTAATACACTAACTTTGAATTAATATATTAAATTTAGAAATCTCTTTAACAAGTGAAAGTCAAGATAAATGATAAATATAAAATACAGTCCATCTTTACTTGTTGACATTTCTCTCCCATAGAAACTTGTTTCCATTCTACCCATCAATTTTCCATGCTGCTAGAGGAGAAAGGAAAGGTTCTTGCAATCACCATAGTTCATATTCATGGGAAGCTTCATAAACAAAGCTGCCAAGTTCTACTTAACATTAGGTAAGGTCCCCAGTCCTTTCTTGTAAAATCTAAATAAGAAGATAATGATAGGCAGTTCTATAAGAACATCCCAGATCACAAACTACTCTAAACATTACAGAGCTATTCTTGTGTGTTATGAGTCACCAACATTTTAATATACACAAAGGCTTAGTCTTTAGCTCAGCCTTTGCAAAGACAGACTGGAAAGATGGCTACCTTTATGCTTAATCCAAATCCTCCTACTGTCTGCCTTCTGATCGTCACCGTTCTTTCCTGAAAGATAAGAGATTTAAAAGTGGTAAGTGTTTCTTGTGGTGGTATTTTACTTGTACTGAAATGTGATTTTAATTGTATGTTAATAAATAAAGTTGCCTGGGGGTCAGAGCTATTAGAGCCATAGCAAGTGCGTGGTGGTGGTGGCGCACGCCTTTAAGGACCAGGAGGGTGGTACATACAGGCAGTGACGAGGCAGTCACATGTTTGGGTTTACAACCAATGAGAAGGCAGAACAGCTAGAGTATATAAAGACATACACACAAGGAAGTAGGTCCCTTTTGGAGAGCTCTCTTGACTGAAGAGGATCGCTGAAGCAGGAAGGGTGAGGCTCTTAGCTCTGACCTCTTGGCTTTCTTCTCTGAATCAGCTCTGTGTTTCTTATTTGATAAGATGGTTGGATACATCTACAGTTTCTTTACACTAAATACATTTTTCCCTGTAGATTTTTTTTTCAATTGCTGTTTAAAATTTGGAGAAAAATATTTAACAGCCAAAGAAACTTCAAATTTGCAATTAATGGAATGTTTTATAGTTTTAAATCAAAGGCTAATAATTTATTTGCCCAAATAAATGTTACTAAATTAATAATCTCTGAAATATTCTTTCAATGATATTTTGAGAACAATTTTAGAATTTTTTATACTCTTATTTTCATCTTGCACATTCTTGGGGAGCCTAACAGTATCTTACTGCCAGTGATAAGCATTGCCCTTCTAGGGCCTTGTCTGCAGCACCAAGTCATAGATTGGTAATTTAAGAGCTAAGCTGAAGGGACTCCACAGCTCAGAACTTCAGAAGGCCATGTGAGGCCTTAGAGCTACATGATGAGGAATCTGTTTTCATATCTTTAGTTTGGGAAAAAGAACTTATATGGTAATAATAATAGTGGGATTACTAATGTACACCACTAGTACCCTATGGTGTAAGCAGGAACTCAGCTATAAAACTACCAATTCAGAGACCTTGGTATGAGCATATTAAGCACATCTAGACATATTCTGAAATTTTCAATCAGAAAAATCAGATTTTAATGTTTTAAGGAAACAATTTCAGCATTATATATATTCTGCTGATGGTTTCAAACATTTAAATATTATTTATGCAAATTTTATGGGTGTATCATAGGTATATGAATTTGAAATATAAAACACTATTTTAATAATATCATTATTTAATAATATCAATAACTCTTTAATATTAATAAACCTATTGCTGTAGTCCTTGCCTATTGTTGAATCCTTGACATCAAAATTATTAAAACCTGCTGTCTTAAAATTTACCTTGGAAATGCCTGTACACTAACAAATTAAAGTGAACATATCATTATTTATTCACAAAATGAAATTAAAATAAACTGCATTTTTATTTGAAATGCTCTTTTCTTTAATAGCTCAAAATCAGTATATTAAAATTAATCTTTGATTATTTCTAATTTAAATGTTCATTGGATAGTAGAGAGTCATTGAAAATGATATTGGTAATGAAGTTGGAGAATGCATCAGTGGCTACAGTAGCCCTGATTTCACATTTGGCAAGTTATTTAAGCCCTGTGAGCCACTATTTCCCAATGTGAGAACAGTTTGTAGGTAAAACCCTAAAGCAATTTTGCTTTTAGTTTAATATCTACAAATGAGCTGATAGAGATAAGAACCTGATGAATATTAAAACACATATTATTCTGCATAGGAAATCTTATAGTTGCCAGTAAATACCAAACTAGTATCTTCACACCTTACATTCAAGCATTTATACTTCTGGAGTTCAAATATTACAGCACCGAGATAACAATCAGTAATTAGTGTTATTTGTTCATATAAGGTAGACAGGCAAATTGCTGTTACAATATAATCCATGAAACAAACAGAACATTTTGAAATTGGGAATAACTTGCTTAACTCTTTTTCAGTAAAGATTATGTACTTGATTTCCCCCAAATAATTGGAAAAAATCAGTGGTTTAAAAATGTCAGACAATGGTTATTAGCTATCTTAAAATTAAATTTTCCATCAGAAAAAATACATTTAAACCAGTAAATGCATAACCTGGGTTTTCTAGATTTGATCCATAGGCACAGGGCCATTTGGTCTGTCATATTTGTTTATTTGATACTAATATAGAGCTTAGCAGGAGAGTTAAAAGTTTATGAAGTGGCATGCATTCTCTTCTTCAAGTTTCACTTCCTTTCTTTATTGGTGAATATTTAGAATAAACTCTAAATTACATGCAAACTGCTAACCAGGAGAAGAGTTGTGAGAGGTAACAGAAAGAGGCTGCAGACTCCCCAACAGCATTTATTCTAATATTTTTTAAAAATATCAACATAATACACATACACACATATCCACACACAACACCCATGCACACACACCCATGCATGAACACCTACATCAGTACATGTGAACATATGCACAAACACACACACACACAAACAAACAAACACACACACACACACTCTTGCTGCTTATTCTCTAGGCTGTCTGTGTGTTACTATTGAGAAAGTTAAAAGTTAGGAGAAAGAGGACAAGTAAATTACCTGTATTCTAAAAAGTAAATCTAATTTGGTTACTTTAGGGAGCAGGCAGGAAACATAGAAAGAGAAATATCTTCAAGTTGGACATATTGCAGATATTAATATTCCAAATTATTAACCCTGTCCCTCTTTCTACCTCTACTTCCTGTGCTCAGCTCATAAACTAGAGAACACACAAAACTCAGGTGAAAGCGTGTTTAGTTACATTCCCAGTGTCCCAAATGCTGTGGCAAATTTTTATAATTTAAAAACCAGTAGAGTGTTGATTTCTTCACTTATACAACACAAAATATATTCTGGTACCCCTACACACACACACACACACACACACACACACACACACACACACACACACACAGAGACATGCATGCATGCACACGCACACGCACACACACACACACACACACACACACACACACACATACATGTGTATATCATATACATGTATATAAATGTGTGTATAACACATATGAGTTTGAAGTCCTCCTGTTCCTTTCAAAGAACAGAAAGTTTTACTAAAATTGAAAATCTGACCTTGAAAGCTCCATATCCTGTCAAAAATTAAGTAGGCATCATATATCCTAGGTACAAAAATTCTTAAGCTATGGATTTAATATTTTGAGGATGTTATAAAGTAAAGGCAATAATTAATTCTAAAGATTATTCTTTAGAAAATAATGCTGAATTTGTGGTAAAAATAAACCTAATGCATTTTTTCAAACACAGAAACAATCTGTTATAGCTCTTTTGACAATTAAGGAAGAACGGACAAACTTGGGGAAAGAATAAAGACCTGTGTTAACTTCAGCTTTTCAAACATCTATTTCATTCACTTTTAACTCTCAAAGTATTTACAGTGATTCACTGACACTGTCCTTGATAAGTTCTGCTGTACAGGTTACTAATGACTGAAAGTGGCTTGTTCAGAGTTTTGATTTCAATAGTTAGCACAGGGCCAAAACCAAACTTAACTATTCATGTGTTAATTGAATAAAATTAGATAAGGGATAAGCTAAATATTTTTCTACCAATGATAGTGTAACAACTGAAAAAAGAAAAGGAAAACAAACCAACAAACAATAAGGTAAATCTTATCTTTGCATATGAGGCCTAGAACTAGAGTTTTAGATAATTTCCCATTCATTTTGAAAATGAATTTACAAAAAAAATATTTGCTATAGTTGTAGCTGTTACATTTATTACTGCCAAATCCGCAAGAGGTAAAGCTTTTGATGAGTTGGAGGAGACTGCTATACAGTGAAATCATATTCAACACTTAAGAAGATGAACACAGAGAAGCTGATAACAAGTGTGGAATGGGAGCTCAGTGTAGGTCCTTCAACAACAAAACAATTTCTCACTCTTGTAAAAGATAAACAATTTGAGGAATAGGAAGAATAAAACACATTCCCATGCCTCCCTCTCTGCTTTGCTGTATACATCAAACTTCTTCTTTTACTTCACTTTAAAATTTTTTAGATTATAATTACAATATTTCACCCTTCCCTTTCCTCCTTCTAAACCCTCTCATCTCAAATTCATGGCCTATTTTTTTATTAAGGAATATTTTTATTCATTTTTACATACCCACCATAGATTCCCCCTCTCTTCCCTCCTTCTGCCCCTCCAGCCTTTCTGCCCCATTTCCCCTCCTCCATTTCCCTCCTCCAGCAAGGTATGGCCTCCCATAGGGAGTCAGCAGAGTCTGGTACATTCAATAGAGGCAGGTCCAAGCTCTGTCCCATGCATCAAGGCTATGCAATGTGTCCCACAATTGGCAGTGGGCTTCTAAAAGCCAGCTCATGCACTGCTTTTTAAAGGTAGTTTTAAAATGCAAAATGGGACCTCATGAGCATGATGGTGAGTGAATAAAGCCAAGATGAATGGATAGGATAGCATTCTTTGTTTCCATTCATTTGACTTTTCTAAGAACAAACCTACAAGGGTGCAGAGAAAGATTAATCTAAACAGGTGAAGCACAGTAACTGTTTAGGACAAAGAGATTGTTCCTCTGTGGCTTTGAGGCCACAGTAGTGGATTCATAACTCCATGCACTTGTAAAGGCCACAAAACATTGGAGTACAAAGCCAACAACATTTCATTATTTACAATACTGCTTAGGAAGTTAAGGAAGGGGTTCAAACTTAAAAAGCAATGTGAGAAAATTATATAATTACTTTAAATGTCCATGTTCCTACTTCTGTGTATCTCCCAGCACTGGACATTATATCACTTAGGATAGTGATTTTTCCAAAATATACCATCTCCATTCTGTAAATCAGCACACTCTCATCTGATTTCTGTTTCTCTAAAACTGCCTACTGGGCCTTCACAGAAATGAAATAACATAGGAGGTAGTTCTTTTGACTATTGATTATGTATCAATGCATCAATGCTTCATTCCTTTTCAATAATCCTTTATTGCATGTGTGTGATATAGTACATCAAAAAACCTTATGGCCAGTAA